GACAATCATGTCAATGCCACCGCCCAAAACCGAGAAACAAGTTCGAGGTTTTATTGGCCGGTTGCAATACATAAGTAGGTTCATATCCAAATTAACAACGATATCTTAACCAATATTCAAGAAACTCAAAAACAATGTACCTGTAATATGGGACGATGAATGTCAAAAATCCTTTGAAGATATCAAAGCCTATTTCGCAAATCATCCCATATTAGCACCAGCACTTCCAGGAATACCTCTTAGGTTGTACCTAACAGTCACCAAGGAGACAATGGGAGCCATGATTGCGAAAGAAGTAGAAGGTAAAGAAAATGCAATCTACTATCTAAGTAAAAAGATGCTCGAATATGAAGTACGATATTCACCGCTTGAGAAATTGTGCCTCGCATTGGTGTGGGCCACAACCAAGTTAAGACATTACATGCTTGTGCATACAGTCTTTGTAGTTTCCCGAATGGATCAACTTAAGTATTTATTCGAGAAATCTACAATTAATGGGCGCATATCAAGATGGATAGTCAACTTAGCACAGTTCGATGTAAGATTCATGCCTCAAAAGGTTATCAAAGGATCTGTGGTCTCAGATTTCCTAGCAGTTTTTCCAATAGAAGATCCAACGCCAATACACGATAATAAATTTCCAAACGAAGACTTGATGGTCACAGAAGATGATACTTGGACCTTATACTTCGATGGGGCCTCAAACCAAAAGGGATGTGGCATTGGAGTATTATTAGTATCACCTAAGGAAGAGCATGTTCCAATCTCCATAAGGATAGATTTTGACGTTACCAACAACGATGCTGAATACGAAGCATGCGTGGTAGGCCTTGAAACATCTTTGGCATTGGGAGTGAAGAAATTACGAATATTCGGGGACTCTTCATTGATCATCAACCAGATTTCTAAAAGATGGAAAGTAAGGAGAAAAAGTCTAGCCCCTTACCAAACTTATCTGGAAACTCTCACCAATCAGTTAGAAAAGGTAGAATACACATATCTACCAAGAGAAGAAAATCAATTTGCTGATGCCTTGTCAAGACTAGCCGGCTTATATTCAAGCTATAGAAGATGATGAAGTGATCCAAGATGAAGAGGAAGATGAAGATTAACCGTGGTATATAGACATACTTAACTATGTCACCAAATGAGAATACCCTCCTCATGCTGACAAAAGAACAAAACGAGCATTAAGACTCTTGGCTTCCCAATACGTACTCATAGACAACTAGTTGCATAAAAGGGTACCTAAGGGTCGATCTCTCTTATGTGTAAGGAAAAAGGATGCTCAAAGAGCTACGAAGATAGTCCACGAAGGCATTTGTGGAACCCATGTTAATGGCAAAATGCTAGTCCAAAAGATAATGCGAGAAGGATACTATTGGACTACCATGAATAAGGATTGTCTTGAATATGTGAAAAGATGCCCTAAATGCCAAATCTACGCCACTTTACAATATGTTCCTCCATCTCTACTTTACACCTACACTTCACCATGACCATTCTCTACATGGGGAATTGATATTATTGGTAAAATTACTCCTCCAGGAACAGGAGGTCATGAATACATCCTAGTAGCAATTGATTACTTCACAAAGTGGGTTGAAGCACAATCATATGCTAAACTCACTGCAAAACATGTAGCACTCTTTATCGAAAGGAATATTATTTGTCGATATGGAGTCCCACATAAAATGATAAGTGACAGTTGAACTCACTTTCAAGCTGAGTGTGAAGAATTGTTACAAAAATATGGCATTTAACACCATCATTCTTCTCCTTATAGACCTCAAGCGAATGGATCAGTTGAAGTAGCTAATAAAAAATCTAAAGACTATCATCGAGAAAATGATAGAAAATTACAAGGATTGGCCTAACAAACTCCATTTCGCACTTTGGGGTTATCGCACGTTAATTCGCACGTCAACAGGAAATACGTCATTCTCCTTGGTTTATGGAATGGATGTCGTACAACCTGTAGAGCTAGAGATACCATCTCTACGCATTACACTAGAAAGTAAACTTGATGTAGTTGAATGGACTAGGGCGAGATATGAGGAGCTAATTCTACTTGATGAAAAGCAACTAGAAGCTCTACATCATACTCAATGGTATCAATCGTATGGCTAGGCATTTTAATAAGAAGGTTAAGACAGGAAACATTAAAGTAGGAGACTTGGTGTTAAAAGCATTAAGGAAAAATATTTTAGATCCAAGGGGCAAATTTAGACCTAATTGGTCAGGACCCTATATTGTCAAAACAATCCTATCAAGAAGTGCGACAAAATTAACTGATATGGATGGCAATGAATTCTCGAACACGACAAATCTTGACCAAATTAAAAAGTACTACCCATAATTACTTGAGAAGGATACTCAAGAGAGCTATGTTTAGCCTGATTCCAAAGGAAATGATACGTAGGCAACCCTTTACGGGTGCGGCTGTAAGGAGGGTGATCCCATCGTAAGGGGTACTCTCTTTAAATGCCCTTAGCCACTTAAAAGCCTAGGAATTTACACTTCTTAAGGTGTATTAGGATTTGAATTCTTGCCTGTTTGGGGGACCTTGAATTAGAATTGATTCCATCATAACACTTTTTTTTTTTTATAAGAAACAAGTAGGAGTCGCCAATGAGTTTTAGGAAAAACTCATAAACCTCATTCATGCCTTTATTCCATGTGGAGTTCATGGAATAATTAGCACAAATCATAAGTTTACCCATGCCTAGATTGGTCTATAAACCAAAAATGAGTCCGGGAGCGAGGGTACTAAGATAACGTTCCTTTTAGAGGGGAATCGTCATCCTAGCCCTATTACGGCCTCTACTAGCTCTTCCTTTTTTACAATTTCATCACCAAACAATATATGCAACGCGATACCTAAAATTATGTTAGTTGATTTTATTTACAAGCTAAGCATTAATTCACGTAGGAATTACATTGCAAGGTCGTTATTCTTGTTTAATAATATTTGTGAAAGAACAATAAATAAACAAGATTCGCCTTGGCTTAGGTGATCAACCAACAATTATTTAATTCAATTCTAGTCTTTATTTAACGCAAAATACTATGTGGAATTGATTAATATATTATTTTACAAGAGATCAAACAACACTAAATAATTTATTAAAGTCCTTTGAAACAAGAAAATAAAGGTGATTTAACTAAGTGCTCGGGAATTTACCACTTCTCTTTGCTAGATCTCCGTTTAGAAGACTTATGGACACCTTCTTGTTGGGGAACCTCCACCGTAGTAACAAAGTATCGAAAGGGTGAGTGTTTAGGACAAGAGGGCTAGGTTGCACAAGTTAACAAGTTATTTCACCAGAGTTTTTAGGTTAATTTCTGTCTGTTGAAGCCTCGGTGCTCGTATTTATAAAGAAGGATTAGGTTTAGGGTTTCGAGCTATCTGGCCCAGCAGGTGTCGCGTGCAACAGATAAAGTTGCGCGCGGCAACCAAGCGCAAGTTATAGAGTTGCGTTGCTATGTGCAGTGCAACTTTTGGTCTTGCGCACGGCTTTATGGTAAGATTCGATTTTATATTTTCCGTATAATTTTCGAATAATTACCAATATTCTAAAGCACCACTCTGGAAGTTGCGCTGGGTGGCGCGCGCAACGGAAATAGTTGTGTGCGACAGCCCAACGCGACTTTGTGAGATGCGCGCGACTTTTTCTGCGGGAGCACTAAGTTTTAACCTAGGCGCTCCTAAATCCGTCATTATTAGGGTTTAAGCACGGTCTTAAGCCTAATTATGATCAAGTTATTTTAATTGGACCTTTGTTTTGGCTTTTCTTTAATTGGGGCTAGTCTTTTGTGTTTTGTGGCTTAACTAGTTATCCATAAGTATTTTTTACTTTTATCCAACACGAAGATGGCTTTATTTATCGTCATTACACTTCCTGTCGGGACAGGAGGCCAGAAGTAGATGTATACAGTTAGCCCCCACTTTGATCGAGTCTAAAATAGACGATGATCAAAGTAGTCAAGGAAATAAATCTGAGACTCATTCTGCGAAGTTCTCCAAGGATAGAGAATCTTTCAGTAATGTTTAAGGATGTCGAAACAATCCTTGGTTCACTAAGTGTTTAAAACAAGTAGCTAAGGCTAGAAAAAGTCCTTCCTAGTCTTAACGCGCTAAAGAATCTAGATTGATCCTTTGCAATTGTAGAATGCTCTTACAAGTAAAAGTATTCTGGGTGATGTCTAGTCATGAAAAGAAATCGGTTTTAAAAGGATAAAAGGGGAGGATTTCCTCTCAATTGTGTCATCATTGGTCTAAAGTCCCTCGATATGTCATTGAAACTTTAGCCTGACTTTAATAAAGTAAAAGATGAAAAGGGTTTTCGGTATTCGAGCCGAAATGGTTTGGTATTCGAGCCGGATGTCCACAAGATAGAAATACATGTCTTAGGATTGGAGACATATATCCAAATTCAGTGAGAGGAAAGAAAGTCAGCAACTTTCTCATCAGTTTTGTCTACAAGATGAGTACACGTGTCTCAGGACTGGGGGCACGTGTCTACATAGGCGCGACATCGTCTCGTCGCTTCTTTATACAGGGGGCGGATTCGACACCCTAACTGTCCAGTAAGTTAGGAAGCGCACTAACTACCGTATTTGCTCCCATTCAAAAAGTGTCTGTTCCTGAAGGTTCGGCGCGTCTGTCGACTAGTTAAGCTGACGCCTACAGTAATTCTCTACCTATTAGTTCCGACACACTAGTGGAAAAAATCTTATTTGTAAAAAGCTATTCGTAACGGGCATATGATTTCCCGTTACAATTACATCATTTGTTACGGGCAAATTCAATGTCCGTTACGAATAACCAACTAGTCGTAACCAACAAGTCTTGCCCGTTACGAATAACCAACTAGTCGTAACCAACAAGTCTTGCCCGTTACGAATAACCAACTAATCGTAACCAATAAATCTTGCCCGTTACAAATAACCAACTAGTCGTAACCAACAAGTCTTTCCCGTTACGAATAGGTTTCAATGTAAACCCTAACTTTTAATTTCCCCTTTCTCTCTCTCTCCAGCTCGGTCATCGTTCGCTCATCGTCATCCCTCAACTCCTCAGCTCAAGCTCCGTTTTTTTTCTCTCTCTCTATTGAGTAACGAGGATGTCAGGCGTATCGTTGCAGTGCGGAGATTGTGGAGCTCTTTTGAAATCCGTAGCAGAAGCTCAACAACATGCAGAGCTCACTTCTCTCTCCAATTTCTCTGTATCTAATGAGCCTTTTCTTAATCTCATCTACTCTTCCTGCGGCAAACCCTGCCGCTCCAAAACTGTAATCTCCTCTCTCTTTTCCATTGTTCATATTCAATTTGAAATTAGGATTTTTTTATATGTTGAATTTGATTTATCAGGAGAGTGATTTCAAAGTAAACCCTAACTTTTAATTTCCCCTTCTTCTTGTTCCCGTTCTTAGGGTTTTCGTTTTTCGAAGCTCAGATTTTCTTCAAGTTTCGCCGCCATGGGAAGAAGTAAGATCTTCATTGATGCGTTATTTTTTCTGGATTAGTGTTTAGATTGTACTGTCAGTTGTCAATTTTTTTTTGTATGTTCAATCGATTTTGTGAATTCAGTTTCTTCGTCAAATTGGGGTTAATATTCGAATTTCGCTGTTTTTTTTCTGCTAGTTTTTGCTTGATTTTTTGTGTTGATATGATCATTTTGAGTGTTTGTTTGCTATGAAGTCTGTAACTTTTCCTATTTTTGTTTCGATTTGATCAATTTCTTTTTTAACAAATACTGATAATTTATGGTAATTCCAATGAAGTTGGGTTTATGTTTGTTTGATTAATTTATGAACAAATGACAATGAAATTGATGCAATTTTTATTTTTAATTATTGTTTAAGATGTGTTGCGTATTAATCCGATTATTGTTTGATTAATTTTTATTTTTAATTATTGTTTGAATTATTGTTTGATTAATTTATGAACAAATGACAATGAAAGTCTTTGACTGTTCTATAAGTTTACTGGAACGTGGAACATGGAACTCTCTAGTGGTTCCGTTGGTTGAATTGTACTAGGGGTTAGGTTTATTAATCTGATTATTATGTGATAAATACCCATATAATATGATTTTTATGAATGGAACATTTTTATTGCTTTGTTTTGCAGCTGAAGGGACCTGAAGGCGATCAGATCCTTGACACCCATGATAAGATCAGTGAAAAATTCAACTTTACTGCTCATAAACAAGGACCTTTCAGTTTCTGCTTCACCAATAAGTCACCTTATCATGAAACCATTGATTTCGATCTACAAGTCGGACATTTTACATACTATGACCAGCATGCAAAGGATGGTAAGACAACAGTTTTCCCTATTTTAGCTTCATAAGAGGTTTCTAATATACTGATATAAGGTGAGATGGCTGTTTGTCAAATTTCGGTTCATGTTTGCAGAGCATGTGAAACCTTTGGTAGAGCAGATTGAAAAGCTCGGTCAATGTCTTTACAACATTCAGTTTGAACAGCATTGGCTAGAGGCACAGACTGATCGACAAGCACTAGGTACTTTATTAATCTCCTCTTTGAGTTTAGAAATCAACCATTTCAGATGCTTTCTTGAATTTTAGAGTACTTTCTAATACCTACATTCCTTGTGGTCACTTCTACACGACGTTGAATTCATCTGTTAGTGGGCCTAACAATGGTCTGCCATAAGTAGTAATATCTCTAAGTGTCGGTATAAACTGTTATCGTGTTGACTGTCTCTTATCTGTATGACAATGCAGTGAATAAAGCTATGAGCAAGAGAGCAATCCATAAAGCCGTTACGGAATCATTTGCTCTAGTTGGTGCGAGCGTGTTGCAGATATACTTATTGTGGCGATTATTTGAAAGGAAGCTTGGGACTTCAAGAGTCTAAAAGATTCATCACATTAGTGATTTGCTAACATATTATAATCTTGGTGTTTCACTGTTTTGGGAAATAGCTTAGTCTTGCTTTAGGATCTTTCTATTATGTTATTTTTAAATGAAGATATCAATGGATTTTCCCTTTCTTCTTCTTTTTTATTTTATTTTATTTATTTATTTGTAACAAAGAATCTTTGAAGTATAGGTTTTTAATTGGGTGAATCAAAGAAATTATTAAACTTTGCATATCAAAGAAATTAGTATAGGTTAACATCTTGGTGTTTCTCTGATTGTTATCTTTTGGTGCTCTTGAAGGTACTAATATGTTGCATAGAAACTACTGGAAACACCATGACTCGACATAAGGCTCTAAAAGAACAGTACTTATTCTGCTGCTCATGTCCTCGTTGCATTATATTAGTAAGTGCCTCAATTTATATCATTTTGCATTTATCACTCTAAAGCTTATGGTGGAAGCTTGTTACTTTCTGCTGTTTAACATTGATTCATTATATCATATCTAAGGGGAAAATGATCACATAGCTAGGCAAAAATTGAAATTCATACAAATGGATCGGAGGTCAATACACTACTCACCCCATATTGCTATAAATTATGAGTTTTAATTCTATAATTTGGACCAACACATGAAAGATGGGAAAGATAGAAGTCCCTTAGGCAATTTTGAAGCATTTTTATAGTAAATGGTCATATTTCATTGATTTTAATTCATAGAAACCAAAATATAAGTTAATTATGGATGTTATGTGTTTTATTTTTATAATTTGGACTAATACATAAAAGATGGGAAAGATAGAAGTCCCTAAGGAAGTTTTGAAGCCTTTTTGGCTCTAAATGCTCCAAAAAGTGAGTAAATGGTCACTTTTCATTAATTTAAATTCAAAGAAACCAAAATATAAGTTAATTAAGTATGCTAAGTGTTTTATTTTTATAATTTGGACCAATAGATGAAAGATGGGAAAGATAGAAGTCTCTTAAGCAATTTAAAGCCTTTTTGGCTCTAAATGCTCTCAAAAGTGAGTAAATGGTCATATTTCATTGAGTTCAATTCATAGAAACCAAAATATATGTTAATTATGGATGTTATGTGTTTTCTATAATTTGGATTAATACAAGAAATATGGGAAAGATAGAAGTCCCTTAGGCAATTTTGAAGCCTTTTTGGCTCTAAACGCTCCCAAAAGAGAGTAAATGCTCACTTTTCATTGATTTCAATTCAAAGAAACCAAAATATAAGTTAATTAAGGATGCTATGTGTTTTATTTCTATAATTTGGACCAATACATGAAATTAAAGATGGGAAAGATAGAAGTCCCTTATGCAATTTTGAAGCCTTTTTTGCTCTAAATGCTCTTAAAAGTGAGTAAATGGTTATATTTCATTGATTTCAATTTATAGAAATCAAAATATAAGTTAATTAAGGATTCTATGTGTTACATTGTGTTAATTTGAACCAATACATGAAAGATGGGAAAGATAGAAGTCCCTTAAGCAATTTTGAAGCCTTTTTGGCTCTATACGGTCCCAAAAGTGAGTAAATGGTCACTTTTCATTGATTTCAATTCATAGAAACTAAAATATAAGAGAATTAAGGATGTTATTTGTTTTATTGTGTCATTTTAAACCAATAAATGAAAGATGGGAAAGATAAAAGTCCCTTAGGCAAGTTTCAAGCCTTTTTGGCTCTATACACTCCCAAAAGTGAGTAAATAGTCACTTTTCATTGATTTCAATTCATAGACACCAAAATATAAGTTAATTAAAGATATTATGTGTTTTATTGTGTTAATTTAAACCAATACATGAAAGATGGGAGAGATAAAAGTCCCTTAGGCAAGTTTGAAGCCTTTTTGGCTCTATACGCTCCCAAAAGTGAGTAAATGGTAACTTGTCATTGATTTCAATTCATAGAAATCAAAATGTAAGTTAATTAAGGATGTTATATGTTTTGTTGTGTTAATTGGACCAATTCATGAAAGATGGGAAAGATAGAAGTCCCTTAGGCAATTTTGAAGCCTTTTTGGCTCTATACGCTCCCAAAAGTGAGTAAATGGTCACTTTTCATTGATTTCAATTCATAGAAACCAAAATATAAGTTAACTAAGGATGTTATGTGTTTTATTGTGTTAATTTAAACCAATATATGAAAGATGGGAAAAATAAAAGTCCCTTATGCAAGTTTCAAGCCTTTTTTGCTCTATACGCTCCCAAAAGTGAGTAAACAGTCACTTTTCATTGATTTACATTCATATAAACCAAAATATAAGTTAATTAAGGATTTTATGTGCTTTATTGTGTTAATTTAAACCAATACATGAAAGATGGGAAAGATAAAAGTCCCTTAGGCAAGTTTCAAGCCTTTTTGGCTCTATACGCTCCCAAAAGTAAGTAAATAGTAACTTTTCATTGATTTCAATTCATAGAAACCAAAATATAAGTTAATTAAGGATGTTATGTGTTTTATTGTGTTAATTTAAACCAATACATGAAATATGGGAAAGATAAAAGTCCCTTAGGCAAGTTTGAAACCTTTTTGGCTCTATACGCTCCCAAAAGTGAGTAAATGGTCGCTTTTTATTGATTTCAATTCATAGAAATGAAAATATAAGTTAATTAAAGGATGTTATATGTTTTGTTCTGTTAATTGGACCATTACATGAAAGATGGGAAAGATAGAAGTCCCTTAGGCAATTTTGAAGCCTTTTTGGCTCTATACGCTTCCAAATGTGAGTAAATGGTCACTTTTCATTGATTTCATTTCATAGAAACCAAAAATATAAGTTAATTAAGGATGTTATGTGTTTTATTGTGTTAATTTAAACCAATACATGAAAGATGGGAAAGATAAAAGTCCCTTAGGCAAGTTTCAAGCCTTTTTGGCTCTATACGCTCCCAAAAGTGAGTAAATAGTCACTTTTCATTGATTTCAATTCATAGAAACCAAAATATAAGTTAATTAAGGATGTTATGTGTTTTATTGTGTTAATTTAAACCAATACATGATAGATAGGAAAGGTAAAAGTCCCTTAGGCAAGTTTGAAGTCTTTTTGGCTCTATACGCTTCCAAAAGTAAGTAAATGGTCACTTTTCATTAATTTCAATTCATAGAAATCAAAATATAAGTTAATTAAGGATGTTATATGTTTTGTTGTGTTAATTGGACTAATACATGAAAGATGGGAAAGATAGAAGTCCCTTAGGCAATTTTAAAGCCTTTTTGGCTTTATACGCTCTCAAAAGTTAGTAAATGGTCACTTTTCATTGATTTCAATTCATTAAAAATCAAAATATAAGTTAATTAAGGATGTTATGTGTTTTATTTCTATATTTTGAGTTTTATTTCTATAATTTGGACCATCACATTTATTCTAATGATTGTTTTTATTATGGATTGTTTTTATTTTGTAACTTCATTCATATGTTTTATTTTTTTAATAGGATTTTTGTCCAAGGACAGCCCCGTATGATGTTGACGAGTTGAAAGTGGTTCGAGAATAGTGGGCGCAATACTTTAGAAGTAAATATTTATTGAATGCATAACTATTAGTTTAGGTAGAACAAAGTAATATTATTAGTGTTGTTGTTGCATGTGTTGGTTAAATTTATACAAGTTTTTATTTGTAATGTAGTTTTACTACTTCAATTTTTATATTACGTCGTATTAATTTTTAAGAAAGATTGTTTGGTATAATTGTTTATTTACAGGAACAGGTTTATTATAACAGGTTTTAATTAATATATATTAATTATATATAAATACATGTTGCCGAAATTTAATCAAAAAAATTAATTTAATGATTATTTGTAACAGGCAGGAGAATTGTCAGTTACAAATAATCACTTATTCGTAACAAGCCCGTTACAAATAAGTATTTAACTACATACTATAAAACTTTATTCGTAACGGACATTTCAAATGTCAGTTACGAATAAGGACTTATTTTAATACAAAAAAGGCCTTATTCGTAACAGACACTTCAAGTGCCCGTTACGAATAACCCATTATTCGTAACTGGCATTTAAAATGTCCGTTACGAATAACCCATTATTCGTAACGGACATTTAAAATGTCCGTCACGAATAACCTATTACTCGTAACGGACATTTAAAATGTCAGTTACAAATAATGGGTTATTCATAACGGGCACTTGAAATGTCCGTTACGAATAATGAGTTATTCGTAACGGACAGTGCCCGTTACAAATAACAATGGCCATCCGTAACGGCCGCATACGTAACAGACGCTGCCCGTTACGGATGGGCCCTTTTTGCCCGTTACGGATGACCTTTTTTCCAGTAGTGAGAGGTAGATCTCGCAAAGCTTGGGCTGAGTGAAATTTTACGCATCACCTACGCCGTACAATATTGCGCCGTACGATACACCATTTGCATTTTTACGCTGCATGAAAACACCTTCCTTTTTGCTTCGAACGTGAAAAAAGAAGAAAACGCGGACATTTGTAACGTCGGTACAGTAAAATGACAAACCTGTCTATGGGTGCTTTTACGTAAAGCACCACCACGGAACGTCTTAAGGCACTCTTACGAAAAACGTTCAAAGTGTATGCTTGGGGAAGCCACAAAGCACGGTGTGCATGCAATATGATGCAAAAAGCTAACAAAAAAAAAAACAAACTACAATATGCAAAGCAATTAAAAAGATTTTGATGATTTTCTCGCCATTACGTCTAATAACGAGCAAAAACCGTTCAAAAAATGATCAAACGGATCAAAATAAAAAATCCGGTCTTTTAGTGACCAGTATCCGCGCGCAACTCAAAAGGTCGCGCTGGCCAGGCGCGCACATCTTTCTGAGTTGCGCTGGGGTGTCACGCGCAACATCTTAAGTTGCACACGACATTTATGTCAGTAAAATGAAAATCGCAGACGCGATTTTTCATTTCGCCATTTTTCCTTCCATCGCCATTTTTTACTCTTTCTTTATCTAAAAAGCTCAGTTTTTTGCAATTTTTGAGGCTAAAGGAAGCTAATCTCGTTCTCAATTCATATTTGCTGTCCAATGTAAGTTTTTTGCTAAAATTTGCTCTTTTTTTATTGGTTGAATTCTAACGATTTTCGAATCGTTAAACCCCAATTTCGAATTTGGGGGTTTTCAATTCGGGTTATTTTTCTTGAAATTGTTTGCTCTATGTTGTTATGCTATGTTTAAGGTGTGTTTTGCAACAAATTTCATGAAAAATGGTTAAGTATTGAACCTTGTATGAGCATTTCTTGTCTCGAGTTCGTTCTTGCTTCTTTTTTCAAACTTTTGCTTGATTTTCTAGTTATTTTGTTTTCCCATTTCGGTTATACTTGTTAATTATGAAACAATTGTAGTATTGGAACTAGTTTTCCTTCCATAATTAACATTTTGAGAATTTTGAATCCGAAAAAATGGCGTGAAGTGTATACTTAGCCTATTTTCACTATATTCAAACTCCAAAATTGTTTGGTAGACGATAATCATGTTTATATTACTGTTATTCGTCTAGAATTAGTTGATTCTCTAAGATTTTAGAAAATAATCCCTTGAATGCTTAGTTGAAACTAGTATAGGATGGCTTTTGTGGGTGTTAAAAGCCCCCATTTACTGAGTTTAATGGTAGGTATCGTAGCCCCCAAGTATGGGTGGCATTCGATTTTTGTGTTTTTCCCTATCAGTAGCCTTTATGCTGCCGAAATGGGTCTAGAACACATATATTAGTTTAGTTTAGGAAAATAATTAAAGAAAGTTTTATCCGTTATAGCACGGACTCGCCTCTGTTTGTCGATGCCGAGGAGGTTCTTGGGGGTCCGGACGGAAGAGGGTAACCGTCCTTGAGAGGAGGTTCGAGAGCAACGCGTTGCAGCCGATCGACGTCGCCTGGAGGAGGTGGTTTGCGATGCTCCTCCCAACTGGGACTCTAGGGTCCTTAAGTGGGACCCAGGCCACCACTTTCGATCCGAGGGTGGCGCGGCATCGTGAGTTTTTCGCGCCTTCGTCTCTTTTCTTTTCCTTTGTTTCTTCTCCTATTTAACCATAACCGTTTGTTTTTTGTTTTTTTTTTGTTTTTTAAGAATGAGCCTGGCATGCGTTTGTACGGCTCTGGTGACCTGCGAGCCCGTTTTGAGCATTTTCCCCGAGGTGGCAAAGGAGATTGTAGCACTTTTTGGGATTGACTCCCAGCTGGCGGCTCTTCGGGATTTATCGAGCCAGTCTGCATCGTCAGCTTTCCTCCGTGGATTGCTGGAGTTTTGGTGGGATTCCACCAACACTTTCCACTTTCCATGGGGAGAGATGACGGTTACCCCTTTCGATTTCTCTATGATTACGGGTTTTCCTTTCGGAGGCGAGCCTATAGTTATAGAGCTCGTAAAGGGGTCAGATAAGAGATTACGTGACCTTGTGGGGAATCGTCTTGCGTCAGCCCTTCACGTGTACGCGCACGCAATCTTGTCCGTACTCGGTTCTTGCGGACGAGTTGTCGGCTGATGAGCTTGACCGGCAGTGTATACTTGAGCAGCTGGCTCGGATATACATTGCCCACGTTCTTTCCTTCACCATCTTGAGTGATCGAGGAGAGCGTTTTGCTATTGGGTTACTTATTTTCTTCAACTATTTGGGGCAATAGGTAACCTGAGTTTGGCGGAGGTGTCATATGCCCGTATGCAATAGGCAACCTGGGTCATGGATTCCGCGGCAGCTACTAAGGTGCCTCGGATCTCGCTTACATGGCATGGTCGTATCCTTGAAGTACGTATATTAAGCTTTTCCGATTATTACTTTCGTTTTTTTTCCTTTAGGCTTATCTTTTCTCGATTTCGGGCTTGGAGATACTCGTACCTGCCTTTCTTAGCCCCCAGGTTGCTTGGGGCTACTCATTTCCCTATCGACCATCGATTGGTCGAGATTAAGAGGAGACGAGCTACTTCTGCCGGCGACTTTCGCCAGAGGATTCTTTCAGCGACTCGTGTGTCGGTGAGTATTCAAAACTACATGTTTTCTTTTCGTTTTTTGATTTTACTCATTTTCTAACGATTTTCATGTGGTTGTGTTTCATAGATCGATCTTCGTCCTTGGAGTTTCGTCGTCGGAGTTCCTGAGGCTATCCGGTCTGGCAAGGTTCGTTGCCGTTTCCGAGCCCTCTATACGAGACTCTCAGTGTTCTAGAGGACCGACGCTTGGTTTTTAGGCGAGCGTTTTCTCTGGCAGCTTTCGATCGAGTAGCCTTTGGTTTCTGCGGATCCCCCAATCTGGATGCTGCGTCCGGACCTGTTCTCTACCGAGGACCGAGCTCAGGCAATCCTTGGTTATCCAGCGGAGCAGGTGGTGCTGTCGGATGCTTCATATCCGGCTTTTATAGCATCCAAGCTGACTCCCTTCCTGGCCTTTGTTCCGGTTAGTTTCCTAACTCTCTTTTTTCGTGTTTCTATTTATGTTTTGGAATTTTGACCCTTTTTATCTTTTTTGTCACATGTATTTTTAGCGGGTCGAGCTAGGTGGTTGGGTGCCGCTTACAGCGGATATCACATAATACCGATGCTACTGGATCGGTAATTCGTGAGACCCTTCTTGCGGTCGAGGATGATGAGGGGATACCTTTCGTACCTAAGACGGTTGAGTCGGTATGCCTTTTATGTATATTAAATATTTTTATTTTTTTGTTTCATATACGTTTGTTTACTAACTGTCCTTGTACTCTTGGAACAGGTTCCACCAGAGACCGTGAACGGCATGGTGATGACTTTACGCGCTTTCCGAGCTGCTTATCGGAGAGCCCTCGTGACTTTGTCATGCCGTGATCATTGGATGATCGCGGTAAATTTTATTAATTTATTTTATTTTTTCTCTTTGCAACGAAGTTATTACATTTCATGTATTAATCTTCGTTTTGGATTTTGCAGGATGTGCAGCAACCGTCTAGTAGTTGCCGAGCACCCTGATTCCTCTGGTACACATTTATATATTTTTTTAGGAAACTTATGTATATATATATATTAATATATTATTTTTTTTGTATATATGACACATTTGTATATATGTCATTATTTTTTGTTTCCATGTGTACATTAATGCGAAAAATGCGAAAAATTTTTGAGGGAGGGAAAAGGTTCCCGACTTTCCCCCCTTGAAAAAAAATAAACAAACTCCAAAAAGAAGGCAAAAAGAAGGAAAAAGAAAAAAGAAAAATAAAGAGTAGGAAAATAAAAGAAAATAAAAAGAAAAAAGAAAAAGAAAGTAGGAAAACAATGGAAAAAAGAAAAAATAAAAGAAAATAAGAAAATAAGAAAATAAAAAAAGAAAATAAAAAAATAGGCAAGAAAAGAGACACAAAGTGGGCAAGCATATGATTTTCCTTAAGATTTCGTGAAGATTCCGTCATTATATGAGCCAAAATACGGAAATTAACCTTAATTACATGCCGCGTCAAGGGAGTCCCGCGCATGTAATTTTGTTGCGCGCGGGTGTCGCGCGCCACCTGTCAGTGAACTTTCCTTTAAGCCGAATTTGCCGAAAATTTGCCACTCTTAGGTCTATTTAAACGTGGTTTTGTGTAGGCTTTTGATCATATCACATTCATTCGCTTAGTAACATAAGAAATTAAAAAGAACTAATCTCTCTAAAATCTTATTCTCTCTCTCTTTTTGTTTTTGAACAATGGTGAAGACCTTTGAACAACGTTTGAAGCAAT